AAACTTGAACAATAAGAGCGATTGTAATCTTAATTAATTCCAGGAACAACAAAAAGTTTAAAAGCATGTGACGAAAATAAAAAAAACTCTTTGAGAGAAGACTTGAAAGCAAGAGCCATAAAAATTCGAATTTTTTTTATAAAGTCATAGGTGAAATTAGAAAAAAGGAAGAACAAATGAGTTTAAAACACAGCACTCCGAGTGTAGAAGAATTTGACGATTTTTTAAATATGAAATTGGTCAGAAGCTAATCGGAGGTAATACAACACCACAAAATCTAAAAAATGTTGTAGAGAATGAGAATACAATGTTTGTTGAAATCCTGTTACCCCAAGACGTTTATGAGGTAATTAAAAGCCTTAAGAAAAATAACAGCCTGGATAGTTACAACCAAACTAACAACCTAATCGAAAAAATTAGTCCGGTTATATCTGAGCTCCTGAGTTGCCTTTTTAATCAATGTGTAGAGTTGACATATCCTTTATTTTTTAAGATTGCTGAAGTTCAATCAATTCATAAAACTGGCACATTGTCAGATTGTGATAACTACAGAACTACATCTATTCTACCAATTATGGGAAGGTTGTCGAAAAAATAATTATAAATCGCTTGTGAGGTTTTCGGAAAGTTTTATGGGAAGGTTTTCGAAGAATTAATTATAAATCGCTTGAGGTTTTCGGAATAAATATGATGTACTAGTAGCATTTCAGTACGGACTCCAAAATAAAAAAAAGTACTGTTGATGCCTTTCAAAAATCAGTGAACAAATAGAGGAGAACTTAGAAGATAATTTTGGCTCCGTGTGTACGTGTATTAATCTTAGAAAATCGTTCTTAACAGTTGTCACAAAATCTTACTGGAAAAATGCGAACTGTACGGTTTATGAGTTAAAGTTGTTAATCTTTTGAGGTCATACCTAGAAAATCCTAAACAGTACGATAGTTATAACAATTCATTATCAGACACCAAAACAATCTACTGTGGTGTAGCACAAATAAAACAAGAAATCAGCAGCAGCTGAATACTGATACAAGCAATGTTGAAAATTGGTTTTTGGAAATTAAGCTTGCCATAAACAAGGATAAAAACGCCGCCATAGAGTTTCACAGGAAGAAATTTCTAAACAAAAGATCCCATGAGTACTTAGGTCTGAGTCCATTGGTCTAATAATTGATGAAAAATTAAAATTTCGAAACACTCATCGATAAAACTTTAAAAAGGGTAGCCAAGCCTTGCTCGATGATCTATCAACTCAGATTTTATTTGAACATATCTACAGTGCTCAAGATATACAAAATTTAGATTCAACCAACATATCAATATAGTGTACTGATCTATTTCACAGCTAATGAGACAAACTTTTAAAAAGTTAAAAAGCCGGCAAAGTGTCGTGTGAAGGAACTGTTTTAAAATTCTGTTTGGTTTGATAGTAACAAGTATATAAGCTTTTTAAACTCATGGTTATCTTGTGGAAATAAAAAAACTTCAGGAATAAGTTAGTGAACAGGAGATAACAGATACTATCAAAACAGGCAAAAAAACTGCGCAGCTGAAATAAGTTTACTGCAAGAGCAAAAATTAAATCGAAATTAGAGTTCGTATTTTGTATAACAAGTTCTTGCAATTGGATAAAAATTTTCTTCTTGAAGCGTTAACTATTATCAATGAATCTTTTACTCGTTTTTTCATAAAATAAGAGATATTTATTTGTGGCAACGAACATTTTTAAAGTGTGTTGTTTAATTTCCATCCCTTTGTTATAATATTTTTCGTCATTTTATTTTGATTGCTAGAAAACACCAAAATAAACAGATTTTTTTCTCTTCAAGTTTTTAATATATTTGGAGAAATTTTGCGGGCCTTTTGTCTATATGATCTTAGTTCAAAAAGTAGACGAATAGATTTTGCTCATGGAGGTGTCACACGACAGGCTGATGCCTTTTTGGTGTTCTCCCAAGTCGAACCTAATTGTAAACGTGCGTTTTCATAGAATGTTTGGTTACAAGTTTTGGCCTTAAAAAAATTGTTAATTATTGTTTTTATCTGTGTGGTATTGCACTTGGTGTGTTACATAAATATAAAACACGTTCTAACTTGAACTAATGCGGTTTAACACATTTGTTTGAAACTCGTACACAAAACTCTACTGGAGCGTTTAATTTCGAGCCAGCAACTGAAATTTTTCTGAAGATTTTTAACTCATGTTCAGGCGACGAGCATTAATGAATGTATTTTCATTCCCGAATCTTAACATGAGAAATTAATTAATTATAAAAGCAAAGCCGGGTTACTTAATTTTTAAGAAGCTTGGTAATATCCTGTATTGACTTCTTTGAGAGCGCTGTAGCGTGGCTAAACTTAATTTATATCGTTGAAACGCATTTTTTCTCGGAGTTATCGAAATTTTCTATTAAGAATATCTCACAAAAAATTTTGGCGCTGTACAATAACAGTGCAAATACATTTTTGAATAGATTTTAAAAAACGGAAGAAAAATTTCAAAGACAAAACTACCAGATATTTAGAACGAATATGCGGATTTGTTATTTTTGTCGTATCGAGTTTGGCTGATCCGTTTCGATCACATAAAACATAAACATGTTTTTATCAGAAAATAAAAACTCTGAACAAAATTTTAGATAAAAAATACTAGTAATTGAATGTTTCAGTTGTTAAAAACACGCACTACTTCAAGCCTTTCTGCGTCCCAAAGTTGTGTACAGTGTTGAATCTGGCTCAATTTTTTAATACGACAGATAGAATGCCGATCAGGGGCGGATTTAGGGGGGGGGGGCGCGGACGCCCGCACCCCTTCAGGGATTCGACCCCCTGCCGACCCAAAAAGTCCCCCCTTTGGTAATTTTTAAGAACTCCATTTTTTGCCGACCGACCCTAAAATTTTTCTAAAGGCGCCTTTGGCGCCAATATATACTAACTTTGAGGGGGAGCGCGCGCCAAAAAACGCGATTTTTTTGTCAAAATTTTTCAAAACGTGCCTAAAAACGGCGTTTTTGACCGGTTTTTTCAGAAATTTGCCTCCGGCGCAGAAAATTTGGCCATAACAGGGACCTTTTAGTGCTTTAGAAGAGCTCGGAAAATCAATTTGGTCGACCTAAAAAAAAGGTCGTCAAATTTTTTGAAAATTTTTTGAAAATCCGCCCCCCGCCCCTTGAAAAAATCCTAGATCCGCCCCTGATGCCGATATAAGTAGTTTTTATCTAAGCTCATCTGTACTATCAACCTTTGCTCAGTTTTGGATAACTACAGAAATGACGTAAAAATTGAAACAACTTCACATCAAATTTGGGTAAAACGCATAAAACTTCACATTAAAATCGGTTGAAAAATCCAGAGGTGCTTCTAATCGTGTTGTTAATCGTAATGATATACCATTTATTTGCCTAATTTTTGTGGTAAGTATTTAGGCGTTGTTGTTAGTAACTTATTTTGTATCAATCGAGTTATTTCGGAGTATTTATCAAAAATGAGACATTTATTTCCAATAACGGTTTCATTTACACTTGCGAAGCGAGTGTATTAGTACGAACCTTCTTTTTTTCCCAACCTAAGTCGCAATTATTGGTGCAACTTTTGGGTCACCTTTACAGCTTTTTCATAGCATGTGCTTTGACATTCGAATCGCAATAAGTTAACACAGTTGATTCATTTTAAACTCATCAAATGAACCAAAAAAAGTGATTTGTTTCAATCAACAACAATAATGAAAACTCGATCTCAGAAATTTTCTAGCTCAATATATCTCACAGTTTTTTGAAACGCATACTTTATACATATTGTGGCTTTATGCTTTGCGATTTGGTACATGCAAAGTTAATGTGGATGCCTTTAGTCTCTTGTATTCCAAATCATTACTTGCAAAATTGAGTCTATTTGTATTTGTTGCTACTTTTGCTGAGCATTGGCAATTTATTAGCATATGTAGCTGCTTTATTCGCAACTAGTGCTTTTGTCGGTTGTTAGTCTTGATTGGCTGCATGGTTATTGCGTGAGACTCAATTTATCTTGATTGCAGTAGGTCGCAGATTCGAATCCTACACGTAGCCGAGTTTTTGTTAATTCGAAGTTTATTTTTACTTTTTCTTATTTCATCTGATAGAGCTGCTTTTTGATCGTGTTCTCGCAAGTGTTTGCGAAGCGCAGCTTCGCCTCTGTGTGAAATATTATAATTCCGATATCAGACCAATCATACAATGTGTGGTCTCTTGAAACAGGTAAAGCTCTTGTGGTCTCTTGAAAATTGTACGACTCATTCATTTCAAATGAAAGTATAAAACTATCACGAAAGCTTTCTATGAAAATAAAATGTTAACTGTTCTCAAGCTCTATGTTTATGATCTTCTCACTTTTTGAATGCGCTTTTTAAACCAAGGAAGTCTCATTTTTTAAAAATTATTTGCTTGTACCCAAAATTTTTGCAAAAAATGCGCGTAAATCGAAATTTACTGTGTCATCCATTCTGTAAACGTAAGCTGAAATCGTTTTCTTCAAAGAAGAGGGTCTTAAGCTATTGAATTCACTAAGTGAGAATGATTTGCTCCCTAAAAATTCAAGTCGTATGAGTGTTTCTGAAGATTTAAAGACATCTGTATTCTTGGAAATGCAGATTTGGTTCAAGAAACTTTTTGCCAATTTTTTTGCTATCCCAATTAGTAGTAACATCATTGGCTGAATGCTACCAGAGGGCTGTCTTAGAGTTTTTATTTCTGTGCTATAAATTGAGCCTTCTAGGGCTTCTGGTTTTCGAGATAACGCTGTTTTTATGATTTTCCAGTAATTTGTCAAAGCCCTAAAAATAGTAATGAAGGTTTAACTTTTTGTCATTTCAGGGCATTGCTGTGACAATCAAAAGCACTAAGAATTAAATGCGAGATTAAATTCGTCTGAAATTGAAAACTAAAAAAACTGTGGACGAGATAGTTCATTTTCGAGTGTTTTTGACCAAGCAGGTTTTTAATACTATAAACAGTGTTCAATTTCAGGGCCAGTTTTCCAGTAAGAACAAGCAACTCAGCAACCGGAAAATATGTGCTGCTCTATTTTTCCGAGTGGTATTCCCACTCGTGTTGACCTTACCCTTTTTCACCCGAATCGACCTCTTCTCCTCTTTTTTCATATTTTTCTTCTTCGCACATCCCTTTATTCCGTCACCCGGCTGCCCAATTTTCCCAACAAGTACAAAATTATATCTCATTTTACTGGGTTTAGTCTCTTTTTTTACTTTCTCCGCTCAAATTGTCAATTTGGTGCTTCTTTACTATTGGCCATACTTGCGTGACTTAACATGCACTGACGATACTGAAAGACTTCTGCGTCAAATTGGACTTGGAAATATTTATCACGCTAAAGCACGTCACTATGTTATTATTTTGGTTCCCGACTTGATTATTTTTTTGGCCGTTTTGACCGCTTTCATGTTTCAAAAAATATGCCGAGCCAAGCCTTCGAGAACTTTCATAAATGCGAATGAAGGCATAAAACGGGCAATTCTGGAGTCCAGGCAAAGTGATGAGGAAAAGCGCAGGTTCGAATTCAGCGAGTACCTCAAACCCCTGACATATATTATGTCAATCTCAGCCATGATTACAGCCGCGAGTTGTTTTCCGTCACTTGTCTCTCTGATTTATTTAATCTCTTATTTGACGATCGGAACCTTACGAGCTATGCATGTCCCATTTCGCAGATTTGTTCCAAAGATAAGTTTGCTGTTGACTGTGATTAGCAGTCTGCATTTCATAACAATGTACGTTTTGCAGTTTGAGTATATTTTCGATTTGGTTGATGACGAGGACAATAAATGGCTTAATTTAGTCGGAATTTCCAAATCGGTGAAGTATGTATGCAAAAACGAGACAATTGATGACGAAGCTTACGACCCCTTAGTCATAATTCACGTCGAGGTTTACAAAGACCAAATTATTAATATCATGAACCCGTTTTTTGTCCTAATGCTGTTTTACACCATGGCCTATCAGTGTAAGTTTTATTACTTATTCTCGAAATACAGCGACAGTAATGAAACTAAGAATGAAAATAAAAGATCAAAAAAACCCAGTCAAAGTGGGGTGTTCAAGCCGGGATCCTTTTTGCACAAAGTTTTAGTCAAAACTAATTTTCTGACCTTGATGGGTTTTATCACGGGTCAGATTGTGGCCAACTCCTATTTATTATCAGTTGCGGTTATGATTTCGTGGAGTATTTTATGTCACGGTTTTTTGGCACTTGTGCTTCTTTTCATCGCAATTTACTTGTGGAGCCGAACCAATTCGAGTTTCAGAACCAAAAACTTTGCGCCCTTTCTCTGTATCTATTGTCAGCTCTACATAATTGTGCAGTATATTTTCAATTTCCGAATTATGGACGACGCGATACCTGATGAGTTAAACATATTGGGTTTCACCCTCGCGATGAGTGACATCCGTTTGAGACATGACAGGTAGGTGGTAGACTACAGTAAAATGCCCATGTTAATATATGTGAGGCGAAAATTCGTCGCAAGGGACATTTGGTTGCAGACGACAACTCGTAGCATTTGAAAAAGTGGCAATTCGGTGCAGAGCAATTTTCTAGGATAAATGCATAAAGTTTCATTAAGTTGATTAAAAGTAATGAAAGTAGGTCTTATATAGGTCTTGGTGATTTTTTTTTCAGTTAAGTTTGTTCACGTTCAATTTCAATTTTTCGCGGTTTGACTTTTGATTTCCTTGTAAGTTTAGTTCATTTCCTTTGTTAACTTCGAAAATAGAATTTAATTATCAGATTTCTCAGCGAAATAAAAATTTTATCTATTGATCTAGTTTTCTAAAATTCGTTGAGTTTTATCAAAAAGAGTAAATCAGAACATGTTCTCGAAATTCCAGGAGCTTTAAGGCTAAATTAATTTAATGGGAAATTCAAAAGTTGAGCTTTTATCATAAAACAAGTCACAATTTTTTTCTCTTTACTTGCTTTCAATTACTCTTTTTCAACTGTCTGTTGGTTATGTTCAAGAAAGGTTATTTCCAAACACCCTAATCAAAACAAAAAAGGAAATTTCGTTTTGAGGACAAAAACTTTAAAATTTTAAGCGTCGAAAGGCAAAATTTAAAGCGTCGAAACCTGAACGACTTATTTGGCGCCCTATTAAACTAATTTTGAGTCTGATGGCATTTTGGTATAAAAAAAATCAAAAAATAGGTTTGTTGAAAACGCATCTTTATATATTTGGTCACTGAAAAAATGAAAATCTCATCAGTATAAATTTTCCTTGCTGATATAGCGTTTCTGCAGCTGAATCAGCATCGCATTAAAATGTTTTAACTGTTTTAATAACCTAGTTATGTCATTATTTTGCTCTCATTGGCATTGTACTGTAATCTATCGGCAACAGGTCAATGACCTTCTATATTGGAGCACAATGTCTACACTTGATTGCCTTTTGGCAACTTCTCTACACGTTTTTTGAGAGTCGCTACGGGAAGAAAAACGAGCCGGAGCCTCCCAGAAACGAACGGCGGTTCGGAGCAGTCGAAGTGACGATCAACCAAAGGCGATATATTACGTCATTATTAACTGAAATTACCAAATATCTGATATTACATCAAAATCTTAAGCTTAAGACAATCTAGAATAACTAGTTTGATTAGGAAAAGTCAAGTTTGACAGAACTCGAATGTCTTTTCACAAGCTCTCGTAAAGGATAAATTGAATATAAAATAGACTTTCGCCAATTTTCAAATTATTGATTAAAAACATTTTTTTCTGACTTGAAATGAAGATTCGTTAATTTAACAATTAATCCGTTTTATGTAAGTATGTAAATGAGCACTAAAATGATGTTAATATATCGCCTGACTTTAATTGCGCAGTTTGGAAGACAACATCAGAACTGGTCGAAGGAGTACTCTAGCTGCCATCTCAATCTCAGTCCAGGCCAGTGATGTGACAATTAAACACCGCCAAAATTACTTAAAGCATAATTTTTTTCCTTATAAAAACTTTGCTCCGATCTCTCACGGAATGAGACGAAAATTACGGTTTTTTGCTTAATTTCAAAGTATCCCAAAGAAGCACTTTATTGGGCGTAATGAGGGAAGTATCTTTCTGACACCCTGTTTGGAAATAACTTTTTACCCAGCATTAAAGGGCTTTTTTTCGATTGCTGAAACCAATTTCAGCTTTAATGTGAAGAAAAGTTGCGGGGGGGGGGGGGGCGGAATGCTGTGTAACGGGCGGACTGTAAAGGGGGTTTCGTAGCGTACAGCTCCTCGGGATTCGACCACTCAAATGGTCCCCCGTAAGTGGTATTATTTCATGTGGCACATTTTAAAGAAGTTCGTATGTTGGCATATTTAAAAAGTCCATATGTTTGTATGTCTAAACTTTTTCAACGTATTATTTGCATGAATTTTTAACGAAAGTGTTTTTGCACGTTTAAGCTAAATCGCATATTAAAATAATCAAGAAGTTTCATTTGGCGCATGTTTAAGAAGTCACTATGTTGGTCTGATTAAAGGCCAAAACATTGCAGGGGTTGAAAAGTTAATTCAATTCCGCGTTTCAAAATCTGTTGGAGCGCGAATGCTTTAACTCTTACATTTTTTCCTATAAACTATCCAAATTTTTTTTTCACAATTTACTGAACTAATTTTGAAATTCTCGACCTTATAGTGGGGTGCAGTCAAGGTACTTTCAGGGGTTGCAAATCTGGCGTCCAAGAGTGACTGCTCAAATCATTATAGTTTTCGAGATATGGCGTTTTTTATGATTTTTCAATTTTTTTTTCAAAAAACTTAGATATAAAAACATTAACTAATTTTGAATTTCTCAATCCTATAGTGAGTTGCTATCACGGTACGCTCAAGGTCTGCAAATCTAGTGTTCAAGTATAATGGCTCAAATCCTTTTGGTTTTCGAGATATCGCGTTTTTTATGATTTTTTCTATTTTCTTTCAAAAAACTTAGATATGCAAAAAACTAACCGAATTTGAAATCCTCAATCCAATAGTGGATTGCTATCGTGGTACACTCAAGGTCTGCAAGTCCAGCATCCAAATCTAATGGCTCAAATCCTTCTGGTTTTTTGAGATATCGCGTTTTTTATGATTTTTTCTATTTTCTTTCAAAAAATTTAGATATGAAAAAACTAACCGAATTTGAATTTCTCAATCCTCTAGTGGGTTGCTATCATGGTACGTTCAAGATCTGCAAATCTATTGTTCAAGTATAATGGCTCAAATCTTTTTGGTTTTCGAGATATCGCATTTTTTATGATTTTTTCTATTTTCTGTCAAAAAACTTAGATATGGAAAAACTAGCCAAATTTGAAATGCTCAATCCAATAGTGGGTTGCTATCGTGGTACACTCAAGGTCTGCAAATCCAGCATCCAAATCTAATGGCTCAAATCCTTCTGGTTTTTTGAGAGATCGCGTTTTTTATGATTTTTTCTATTTTCTTTCAAAAAACTTAGATATGAAAAAACTAACCGAATTTGAAGTTCTCAATTCTATAGTGGGGTACTGCGACAGTATAAATTCAGGGCTTGCAGATCTGACATCCAAGTTTGAGTGCTCAAATCCTTTTGGTAATAGAGATATGGCGCTTCTTATGATTTTTTTTTTTTTTAAATTTAGATATATAAAAAACTAACGGAACTTAAATTCTGAACCATATGGTGATGTGCTGTCAGGGTACACTCAAGTGTTGCAAATTCTCTCTCTAAATACCACTGCTCATTTAATTACGGATTCCGAGATGTGGCGGTTTTAATTATTATTATTTTTTTTAATTTTAGATAAAAAACAAACCAACAGAACTTGAAATTCTCATTTCTAAGGCGGGGTCGTGTCATTTACAGATCTACGTTGGAAATCTGCCCTATAACCATGACTGCTCAAGTAAATACTTTTGGTTCCGGAGATGTGGCATTTTTAAAGATTTTTTTTTCAAGAAACTTGAATTTAAAAAAAACTAACCGATCTTGAAATAGATTCTCTTTTATTATTACTTTTTCACAAAAACTTGATTTAAAAACAGCTAATAGAAATTACAATTCTTAACTTTATGATGGGATGATGTCAGAAAACAATATAGGGTAGCAAATCTGCTCTCTAATTTCATCTGCTCAAATCATTCCGGTTTCAGAGATATGGCGTTTTTTTAGGAAAAAGAAACCGCTGATAGATGAGCCCAGTTTGTCTTCACGGTTGCATTAAATATTGCTTTTTAGTACATGTTTTAGGAAGCTTTTTTTACTTTTAACGATCTATTGGAAGCACCGTAGGTGCGCTTTGCTTCATGCGCTAATTTTTCTAAAGGTGCCCTCGGTGCCATTATATACTAATTTGGAGACAAGAGCGCACGCCAAAAAATGCGATTTTTTAATCAAAACGTTTCAATCAAAGCACTTCTTGGATAATTTTGACCAATTTTTTTTGGCGCGCGCTCCCCCTCAAATTTAGTACATATTGGCGCCCAAGGCGCCTTTCAAAAAGTTTTAGGGTCAATTAGCCAGAAATGAATATCACAAAATAGTTCAAAGGGGGACCCTTTGGGTCGGCAGGGGGTCGAATCGTTGAGGGGGCGTCCGCCTCACCCCTTAAATCCGGCACTGAATATGAGTATCTTTGTATTGCGCATTTGCTAATCCTCTTTATTGATTGCCGGTGTTTGGAAGGTTGTAAGAGATCATGTGCCAATAGTCTAGTCAAGATGTTGGACTCCAAATATATCGGTAGGAGGTTTGAATCTTGGAGGCGGATATGTTAGTTTATGATTTATTCCTTAGTTTAGCATTTCTTGCAATTTCAAAAAAAAAGTACATTTTGCCGTTTTGTCGCTTATGTTACGATGTGCAGCTTCGCCTCTGTCGCCAAAAATGTTAGTTAGAAAACGTTTTATCTTCTTTTTGAGTTTATATTCTGTCTTCAGAATTTTCTCAGTTGATAAATTGCTTTTACCCCTGCAGTGAGCAAGGGTGTTGCAACCGGTTCCTAGACTTTTTTTGTAGGGAACAACTTTGTTCACAAGATTTTACTCGTGAAAATTCTACACATGTTTCAAGTTACTTCATAATAAATTAAATATCACTCAACCATCCAATGCATCTGGCGTAGAGGTAACCCGCCTGCTTGAGATGACAAAGGCTTTTCGTTTGAATCCGGCCGCGACCTGCAAACTAGAAATTCCCAACTACCATCCTTGTTTTTTGGGCTATCATCCCTGTCGGCTTAGTTCCCGTAGCACAGATTATTTTTGAAGGTTGAGCTTTCTTCTGAATTTTTGATTGTCAATTCTAAAGCCCAGTTAGTGCAGGTAATTGAGTTTTTGCGGAATTTTTGTCGCAACCGATTTTGTATCATTTCAAGTTTTTCTCCTTTCTTTTTTTGTTTAACCGGCTAAAGCCGGCTTTCGGTGTAAATATAAATGGCTTACTGGCTTTAGATTGCGTCGCTGAATAAGCGAAACATGTTTCCTCTGCGTGTGAGTTTTTTTGAGGATGTAATTTAATTTTTAAGTTTTTCAATAAACATTTTTTTTGGCTCATTGAGTGTATGCTCAAGTTTTGTCGGCTTTGTTACCGCTTCGTATATTTTGTTTCAATGCAAACTTTTTTTCAATTGTCTTATTTGGCACGTTTTTTAAACAAAAGTGAAGCTTATACAAAAGAAATTTTTTGAAACTCTTTTTTGACTAACCGGTTTCGTGCTGTATTTCAAGTAGTGTGAAACTCTGATTTGCCTCTTTGTTAAAGCTCTGTTTTTCTTAAATTGTTTCCTATTATTGATTTAGCGAAGAACTTTTTTCCTGCTTGCAATTATTACTAAAATTTTATGAAGCTCCATTTGAAATTAAGTAAGCGGTAAGTTTCTTTAATACTTGGTATGTTGCTGGTTTTTATTGATTCTCAAAATGTAATTTTTAACTACAAATATCTCGTTATGTCAGTTTTCTAAGCTCTTCTTAAATTGGCAGCATTTGGAGCTCCTGTAGTGCACTTTATCTTAGAAAGCTTCGCCTGTGTTAGAAAATTTTGGTTGGTGACAATCGCTCATTTAAGGGGCTGCTCCAAGGAATTGGATTTCGCTACAACACTTAGGAGTCTTCTTCGGCAGCGAGAGAAAGGGAGCTGGCTACTTTTTGCAAATGGCTATTAAGTTTTTGTGGGACCATGCGCCGAAAACATGCAAATTTTTGTGAATACCGTCCAAAACGTGTCTTTGATGTAGTAATGAGATCTATTTGTCTCAATTGGATATATAAGATATCTTCGTCAGTTATCTTTGCCAGTTTTCGATATATTCATTTTAAGTGAAGAAGGCGACGAAAATTGAAGTTCATGAATTGTTAGTTCTGATTTAACAACTTGGGTATCTGAATTACTGAATCATTTGATAGCTGGGCTTATGATAATTGTCGGCCTATCATTTGTTTATTTTATGTTTTGTGGGTTTATTCGCCACGGCACGGATTTTTATTACCCTTGCGATAAGCAAGGGTATTGCAATCAGGTACTAGACTTTTTCCACGTAAATAACTTTGTTCGCAGGACTCATCTGGACTCCTTGCTTCATAATGAATTCAAATTTCTTATGATCCCCTGCATACTTAGCCGGGAGGTAACACATACGTCCTGGGTTCGAATCTGAAAAGGACCTGTTTTTTCCCCAAACGGGTAGTATTGTTTCAAATAAAATTGTCGGCCTAATATATTTGTCTGCTTATGTTTTGTCGGCTTACTTCCCACATCCTAAAGTCGTTTTTTTTTGCTGTAGACGATTTTCATTGTATTTGCTCCTAGTGTTTTAGCATTTTAAAAATCCGTCGGAATCGAAATTTGATTTTTACATAGGTTGTAATTTTACCAACTCGATTTGTTAACATTTTTTTTTTCAATTTTTTTCCGGCTCAATCAGCTTCTGCATATTTTATATTGACTCAGTGGCTTCTTACTGCGACGTTTCATGACCGAAAAAGTTTTTTGTGCGTGTGTGCTCTGAGGGAGAATTTTTTTATTTGATTAGATTTTTGTTGCGATTTTATGTCATGGAAGGTTTCTGCTCACGGATTTTTGGTTTTGTTCGGTGGTTAGTTTTTTTTCTGATGCTAATTTAGCATTTTATTGGCTGGGCATGTTTTTTATGTAATTTATAATTCCTCATTTTGATAGATTTAATTGTATGTATATTGATAAAATATCGGTTTTACTTTTTTGCTGATGGTTTGTGGCCTTATGGTTGTCGATTAAGCTCTCAATTTAGTTTCCAAATTTTGTTTACCACCTTGCATTCATTACATCTATTACTTGCTTGGATGCTATTTGGGCATTACATGTATTTTTTTTTCAATACGATTTTGGCGAAAAAATTTGATTGATTTTCAGCTGATTACCTGTCATCTTTAATTCTATCGGCTCATTTATTTATTACTTTGTTTCCTATAAATTTCCGATTGATATTGATAAGACTTTGGCGCCGAATTTAAAATTTTGAATGCTCATATTTAAGCCCTTTTGAAACTTATTAAAAGTTTTAATAAATTTATACAAAAAAACTTTTAATTTTTTGTTTGTCTAGTTTTTTTGTCAAGGGTAACAACGTTCGAAGTCAAATTTGATATTTTTTGAGCCTCTCGCTGTTTTAATCCGAATTTGCCTCTGTGTGAAAATTTAAGAATTTTTAATTTTAATTCGAAATCCGTTTGATACAGCCGCCCTGCTATGGTGTAAACAAAAGAAGTCCAAAAAATGGGGCAAATTTTTTCTTTAAATGTGTGATATACAATTTCTGGACGATTTTTTTTAAATGTTTTGTTTTTTCGTGTCCTTCTCCTTTTAATCAAAAGAAATCAAGGAATAGAGCTTTGTGTTAAACTTAACTCTTGCCATAATGAAATAGTTTGAAATAATGATTTTGTCTTATTGTAACAAAAGTTTTTTAAAAGTCGAATTTGGCTACTTGTTGAAGTCGTTAAAATTGGTTTCGATTTAAAGTCTCACCACTGGTCCATCATCAGGTGAAAAAGCGACAACTGAAGGAGACTCTAGCAGCAGTGTGGATGTGTTTCTGCATAGTGTCTCTCGTTCTAATCAGCACCATATCCGAGACCAGTTACTATTACATCATATACATGGTCTTCTTCCTCGTCTTCTCCGGATTCACCATTTTCAAACTCATCATCCAAAAGAAAATTCCAGACTTCGAGGGCTTCTTGCGTCTTCTTCTCTTTTACTCAATGGTGGTTTTTCTAGCTTTCTACACTCTCAACTTCGATTTTGTTCACAGTAATGGCAACGTCGAAAAATTCCTTCATGACAACGGCCTCTCTCCCTCCTTTCAAAACGTAATTCCGATCGCAGTTCTGCTTGTTGCGATTAAAATCCAGTTCGACTTCTTCAGTGTAGATTTCCATAGTTTCATGCAAGAGTTAGCCGAAGGCAACGCGCGTCCATCTTCCGTCGAGGAATTACCCGCGAAAAACGCAAATGTTAAATTAGCTGCGAAAATCCAGCGGTTTTTCAGTGAGTTGGCTGAACTAATTTGGTTAGCAGCTGCAGTTCACATGAATAAAATCATTCTAATAGCGTTGATGTGTGCTATTTTACACGAGAGGTCGGCCTTTAACTTCGTTCTACTAATCGGGTTCTGCTGTCTGTGCCAATTCAGCAGTCAGTTCCAAAAAATAACCCAAAACGTGTTGTTCATTTTATGTTGCTCTGTGATAATCTTGCGCATGCTTTACGCAACCAGTCTAAATACGCTATTCAATACCGACAACTTTGCAAACTGTTCATCGTCGGAAAATGATGAGGATCCGAATGCTATTTTTCCCTGGACGAAGAGTATCTATCGCTGGATTGGCCTGGAAATGAAAAACCAGGATCTTGATTCGCTTCTTGATAGTTCGGTTCCTTTAGATTATCTGTGGCCCTATCTGATTGTAATTACACTCGCCCTTCTGAACGCATTAATTGGGTTCAGAATGAATGCAAAGGTTGCCAAATTAGGCCGGAAGCGAGAATTCGCGGAAAGTTTGAGTTATGACGCTTCAGCGGAGAGATACAATAATGACCAACATACTTTGGAGTATTGCTTGCAATACAGAGTTTTGTTTCCGAGAATCAACAGGAAAAACGCCGACGAGGGTTTTACGAACATGTTTCTGTATTTTGTTAACTTCGGATTTTATAAGTTTGGATTGGAAACTGTGATACTATTTGTCGTGATTTTGGCCGGAAAAGTCGGAGATTTTTTCTCTGTTTTCCACATTCTGTTCTTGATTCCTATGATTATCTGCCGGAGAAATCAATTGAAGATGTATGCCAAAATATTTGCTTTATATTCAGCGATGGTATTATTGATTAAATATTTGCTACTACTCTGGTTGCCACCATTTGAAACATTCTGTGGCTCTTCGTTTTTAGAATGGATCCAAGATGAATCCCAAAACTCGGAGTCCATAAAAGGTTTGAATCGTTTCTTCTTTCTCTATGACTTCAGTGGGCACTCTTCTTATGACTTGAGTTTGTCTGATTTGTATGCCGATATGATGCTGTTAATTATACTCCGCTCTTTTCTGAAGAATCTCAAGGCAGAAATAATCGATCACACATTGCGCGAATCGGCCGGCAATAACGAGGACTGTCTTGAGGAACCTGACATGGCACGGTGCCAATATGGTCGAGGTGTGACCAACCGGATTATTTATTCCACAACTAATTTTCTCACTGAGCAAAAACATCCAATGAACGTGTTAAAGAAGGTTTTGTTTATGCATGGAATTTGGTTCACGTACTTTTTTGTCTGTTTCTGTGGTTTGCAGACTTATGACATTTTAGGAGCGCCTTTTATTGGATTTTCTGTGTATCTTCTTTGGCTAGGCCAAGATGTGGCTTTGAAAACTCGGCCGAACACTTACAAATTTGTAAACAGAGTTTTACTTTTTGTTGTTCTGGTCGCTTCTTTTCGGGTAATGATGCAAGTCGGAGGCTTTTACTGCACTGATTTTCCCAGCTTAGCTACTCTCGAAAGTTTTATTGAGATACTTGATATGAGAGTGTTGTCTAAGTATGATCTCTATATCACTAGTAGCAATCTGAAATGTGACGGGTTGTTTGATTATTCCTGTATTATCTCCTGGGAAAGTACCTGCATAATGATACTTTTGATTCAACGACGTATTTTTATTAGTCACTATTATGATTTCGTAATTGAGGAGTCCATTGTATTTCGCGATCTTTCAGAAGCAGGTGGCAAATTGGTCGAAAAATTTAACAAGCAAGACATTGCAGCGGCCATTGCTTACAGAAACCAGATTACTCAAGAGCTAGAGAGTCAAATATCGGCCATTCGAAACCGAAATAAAAACTCTGGATCTTGGTATGAACCGAAGAACCATTTGGACGCGATCTTTAATGGATCCAGATTTTTCAGCGATTCGACCGATCCGCATGATTCTTCCAATGAGACAAGACGCAAAAGCTTTAAAAGACCATCCTCAGGGCCATCTTACAGTTACAACAGCTCTTCTGAAACAGGTAACCAATGGATCCCGTACATAGAGAAAATCAAGGAAAAGACTCTTGATAGATGTTTTCCACGTGAACCAGTCATGAACACAAGCTCGATAATTGAAGAAAAAATTGGAAACCAAGCCACTGAAGTTGAGGATTCTAAGAATGACGATATTGAAGTTGTTTCACATTTTAAATCCCAAGAGAATGATGCAGATCCACTTGCACAGCATGATGCTCCAAGTACCAGTAGTGCACATGAGGAAACCTTAGAAGAAATTGTGGAAACGGGATCTTTTGCAAACGATGATGATATCTCAATTCAAACAAGTCAAACTCAACTGACTGAAAATTCAGAAGTAGAAAGTTTGGAAACTGGTCCACCAACCGGGATGAAAAAGATTATGCTTCTGACAACTTATGCCGTCTTCAGAGTGTTAGCCGAAATTGGTTATATTTTCGATCAGGGTTCTATTGCTTTCCATCGGATTTTGTTAAGTCTTGAACAACAACGGTCGAAGCGTAAAGGATTTCTAGAAACTTTGACAATGGACAAGTTGGAAAATGACCTAGAAGACCGCGTGACTTCAAATAATTATGTTTGTGTTGATATGACTGGGGACACTTTGGATGATTTTTCTAGGAAGCCCTCACGCTTTCAGCAGCATTTGGATTCAGAGCAAGCGTTCAATATTTATGTGCTTTTTATTAGAGATTTCTGGTTATCTTTCTATCAGTTTCTGATTTCGCAAACTGATCATTTTTGCTACTTCTTAATAGGCATTGTAGTGGTGTTGAATGGCTCAATTATGGACATGTCTCTGTCTATAATTACTATAACTTGGGGTCTCTTATCCAAACCCAGACCAACGAAGAGATTCTGGAAAGTGATCATTTTCTACACTACGGTGATTATTTTTGTACAATGGTTCTTCCAGACTAATATTTTCGAATTCAACCGGGATGATGGAGTTTCAGCTCCGGTCTGGATGGAAACCCTAATTGGGAATCTGGATACAACCGACTCCTATGTGTACGTGTTGCTGCTTCTAGTTGCTCTCTGTTTCCATAGAAACATCCTACTGAGCTATGGCCTGTGGTCGTCTTATTCAAGTAACAGAAGTGAACAAGAAAGCTACAATCGAGAATTTCTGGCTGAGTCATTTGATAAAAGAACCCGAGGAACAAGTGAGCAGTCACTTAACTATGACTCATCAGTCGATAAACAAAAGGAGCGAAAAATGTCGGTCCATGAAAGTTCCGTTGACATGGCTACAGGATTAAGATGCACAGATAGCACTACAAATCTTGTCAAAAAATCATCATACTGGGTTGATTTTAAATATTGGGCTTTGGATGTGAAAAACGAATGCAAATATTTCACAAGGCAAATTTTGGACTGTAACAAAACTGCAATTCGAGACGTGTATGTACCCATGTTTATTTTTGACCTTCTAGGGTACGTGATAGTGACATTGGGTTATTCTGGGTTCTCGGAATCTGGACAGGGCTCATCAATAATCGAAAGTCTGTTAAATAATTCGGTTCCTTTTTATTTTCTCATTATCATATTGATACTTTTCGCCTTCACAATGATTGACAGACTGGCTTATTTGACTAAAAACGTGCTGACTAAACTTGTGGGCTTCATAGCTCAGGTTATTTTAGTTCACGTGTGGCTTATTTTGCTGAATCCGCTCATCAACGAATCCACTTTCCATTCAAACTCGAGTGCTTTGTTGTTCTACTTAGTACGGTGGATTTACTGGGTAATTTCAGCCTATCAAATAAAATGTAGCTTCCCTGTACGTGTTTTGGGCAATTGTTTCTCGAAAAGGTACAACAAAGTGTGCAAACTATTGATGCTTGTGTTCTTTAATGCCCCTTTTCTGTTTGAATTGCGAGTTATTATGGATTGGGTGTTCACGCCGACCACGCTGAAATTCAAGAGGTGGTTAGAAGTCGAAGACGCATTCGTGAAAACTTTCTTGATCAAATGCGAACGAGCGGATGAAATAAGTGATTTCCGAAAACGCGGCGAAGTCCAAAAAGCTTTCCCATCTAAAACAGTCTATCTGGTTATTTTTATGGCTCTCGTTCTTGTAATTTGGGCGCCAATTTTGCTGTTCTCATTCGTAAACGAAACAAAAATTTCGACAGATATCCGATATGCTGCTATTGATTTGCAACTAGGCAGCTTCGAACCAATTTTCAAGTCCAGTTTCACGACAGCTCACAACGGTAACTTCGCTAATGCGAGTTATTTGGCAGCTGCGAATGGATATGTTACAAGTTCTCTTTCGAGTGATACTCAGACTGCAAAGGTGATCGTTTTCAACCCCAGTGCACAGACAATTTGGTCTATCACACCGCCTGCAAGAAAATCTCTGTACTCTGACCTATTGACATGCGACCGGTTCGAGTTGACAATCGGAATTGATATAACACGTCGATCTGAATCTTCAGATGCAACTATAACACAACCGCAAGCGTCAACACAGGTTAGAACTGAGTTAGATATCAAAACATGCCGCGCGCTAGCGTGCATGATAAAACTGAACAACTCAAATTACAACGAAAATGATGCATTTTGCGATTCTTCGAATCCCGTTGAGCAAGTTGAATTAAAGAACGTTTTGCCAGTTTTCTACGATGTTGACAATGATGGAAACATGAACCAGTTGTCGCTTCTCAGCTCCTATAACGCAAGCTTGTCCTACCTCTCTATCAACATATCATTGCAGAATGACAACGAAACTAGTTCCATGCAATGGTGGAATGTAGATGTAGCACATGCTACATTACGACAGCTGCTAATCGTGACCTTCGACGATAAAGTAGTCCCACAAGTTTTCAATTCTCTGGCCAGTTACGGAATCGTGGGACTGTACATCACGTTTGTAATTGTGGCGGCCAGCAAAATTAAAGCGGCATTCAGTAACTATTCCGAAGCGATCATGTTCCAGGAACTTCCGAATGTCGATATTATCCAGAAACTGGTCCTGGAGATGTACATGTGTAGGGAAATGAAGCATTTCGAATTGGAAGAAGATTTGTACTCCCAGCTACAATACCTCTATAGATCTCCAGCAAGTATGATAGATAGCACAAAGTTCAAACCGGAGTGAGAATCAAAGATATTTATTATTTTCCTATTTGTTATTTAGTCTTAATCAGGATTGAGTTCACTTTCTTTCTTAATCTAATTGGCTTAAAATATGGTTATGATACATTTGGTTACAAGACTTAAAGTCAAATGCGTAGTTCGAAATGTGCGTGTAAACACTCTTCACCGTATCGATTATCAAAGTTTTTAAAAGATATAAAAGCTCTTTGTTTCGTAACGCGGATTCAATATCAAATTTTCAATAAAAAATTTTTCTGCTTTTGAGAAAAGCTTAATGATATAAAACCCTTTTCTCTTGAAAATCGGATTCGAAATTTTTCAACAAGTTTTCAACAAAGATTTCTCATTTTTGAGAACAGCTGGTCTGAGCAGTTTCGTGTTTCAGAGTGAATTTCTCTGGAAGCGGATAAACATTATCTAATTTTATCTTCCACTCTAATTTTTACCACTGTTTAGATTGTTATTCCGGCGAAGTGGGGAAAAAACTCTGTTCTACTTATGGTTATTTCTTGTTTTTGTCTGCCCCCAAACCATCTCATAGAGGGTCAAGCGTGGCATCAATTTGTAGGCCGTGATATGGAATCCAAAAAATAACCAAAAAAAAATTCCATGTCAAGAGAACTGGTCTGAATTTTTCTAATTTCAGATTAAATGTCAGAAGTTTTACAAAAAAACACGATGAAAGGCTGACCTCCTAATTTGTTTCTATTACAACATTCATGTTATTTAAGACATTTTAATTTCATTTTATTGCAGTTGTAATCGCACCTGATTAAATCGTTGTGAATAAACGAAAGTAACTGGAAACTTGGTTTAAAAAAATGAGTTTTTGTGTTAGGTTTTTTAAAATTCTATTCTCTAAATTCGGTTTTCCAGTTTTCTGATTTTTTTGACCGTATAGTTTTTTTCTAAAAAAGTAGAAAACAATGTAACTGTGAAGTTTTGATTAAGTCTAAATCATTTTTCGCAGTTTTTCTAACTTTTATAAAAAAAAATATTTTTTATTATTTTTGCTGCAATATTACCAAAATGCTCCGAAATTGCTATGGCCTCAAATTTTTGCACAGGTTGTAGCGCTAACAGTTACTTTAATAACACCAAAGCTTTCATTTCATCAAGATCAATAAAAAATTTCAAAGCGAATTTTGAGAGGTTGGCAGAGGAAAAGAGCCAACTAATTTGAGATTGTTTTTTTTCTTGGTTGTCATGTTTTGTGCTGTGTTTTTCCAGCTTGATTTTGTGGCTCATAGTTGCGCAGGCTAGCAAAATGATGCACAGGCCAGCACAAACTTAGTGTAAGTGCTAAGAAATTTAAAAACGTTTAAAAGCTAATGAGTTTTCTTTATTGGATTTTACTCGGCTAAAATAAAAGCTGAGCAGCTCTTTTAACGGCTGATTTTATGTTTTTCTACAATGTGTTACTAAATTATTTTCGAATGGTCTGGTATGGGTATGAAAGTAGTAACATGTTTTTGATTTGATGTGATTGATCAACCAAACAATCTACCTCCCCCTTAGTGACCTACCGTATAATGTCCTCCCGAAGCATTTGAAAAGTCATTCCGCTTAAAATATTCATTTTAAACACGCGCGCTGAATTTACTGCTGGAGAAAATTTTCTTACCGAAAATTTTTTTATCCTGTTAATAGCGTAAAATATTAATCATAATTTGGTAGCGATTGATTGTTTTTGACGAATTAGATCAATTTATTTTGCCCTCGAAGTCAATTTCTGAAGACCCGTTATTTTATCCCCCTATAGGTTGAGCGGAATTGTACTGGTCATCCGATTTGATTTATACTTCTTGAAATTAATACTTTTTAAAAGCCCATGTTTAAGAATAACGAAACGTCACATATATTGTTGAAGATTTACTTCCAAAGCTGATTTTCTTTATTTTGTGTGTTTTTGGTATTCACTGAAAATTCCTGCTTAGAACTATTTTTGCAATTTCAACAAATTTCTACATTTACCATTATTACTTTTTTACATGGGTGAAGTCCCATTTGTACCAAGGATCATTTCTATCAAGATTAAAATCAGTCCAAGTTATACCAAAATTTTTCATCTCGATTTCTGATCGGTCGTATTGTAAGTCAACGAATAATTAAATTACTTTTCAGCTGCTCAAAAAGAATAAAAAACCAGCAGAATAGGGACAGCCGCAGTCGCGCCAGAGTGTTGCGAGCTTGCCACCAGAGGGCAGGATTTTATACGAAAATTAGAGTTCGTTCTTGCCGCGACGCAACCAGTGCCCTCAAATCAAGAGCTTTGAAATGATCGGCTTAGTAGTTGTTAGCCAATTGAATTTTTTGGTACTAGCGCGATTGGTCTTTTATTTGTTACAAATAGGACTGATTTTTCATTTTGGTACTTGTGAATACAACCCGAAACAACGTTCTGAACGAGACAATCGAACTGTGCAGTGTGTAGTTTTCTTGACATCTATCATGTTTAACGTTCATTTAACATGTGAAACGTTCAGCGAGTGAATTGAACTGTTCAGTGTGATATCCTTGTTAAATAAGCTTTCTTTAAATGATAGCTTTGTTCAAATCTCCTATAAAACACACCATTCAGAAAAATAACTGCAGATAATGCAAATTGGTTTTCTTAGACCTAGAGAAACCTGATAAGTCATCCAAGTAGAGTTAATTTCATATTGGATACCTGAGAACGGTGGGTATTCACAAGTACCAAAAAGGAAAATCAATCCCATTTCGACCAAAAATAGAAAATCAATCGCGTTAGCACCAAAAAGTATTCATTTGGCCGACGACTACTAAACCGACTAACTTAAGCTCTTCATTAAAGGTTGCCGGAGCGCGCGCGTCGCCGCTTCGCGGTGAAAACTAGCTCTAATTTTTGTATGGAGTCTCACCCTCTGTTGGCGAGCTTGTAACACGTGGGCGCGACTGCGGTGTGCGGTGATCATTATTCTTATTCTGCTGGTTAATTTTATACTGTTTGAACAGTAGAAGATTAATTTAGTAATGCGTTAGCTTATAATTTGACTAATCAAAAATTGAGTTGAAAACTTTTGGTGCAAATGGGACAGATTTTTCGTTTCGGAATAACTTAAATTAACCTTGATGCAAATGGGACTTCACCGTTGTTTCATCTCGCAAGAAAAACTAGTGTTACTCTGCTAACTCGAAAAAGTTTACTCCGCTGGAAAAAAGCTGCAGATAACAAAAACTGATCTTTTCGGACCCAAAATAACTTATTGGCCTTGAAATCAAATACTGGTTTTTCTATTGTGGGTAGCTGAGGACAGTTTCTCTCGTAGCAGGTAAAATTCTATGGAAGTTCGCGAAATTTCTAAAATGGCTCTAGAAAGTAGTTTTTTAGTAATATCATCAGGTTGCGTTTAATTTTGTACCCGATCTGTTTTTGGCTCAGGTTTTCTGGTGATTCCAAATATATATTTTTTAAACAAGTAAGTGAATGTTTTTAGCAAGATTGTTTTGACAACATTTTAAAGTCATTTTCTAGAATTGTTTTTACCAACTGGGTGTCTGCTTAGTTGGATCACATCTTTTTGAAAACTTTGCAAGTTTGCTAACTTTTTGATAATTCAAGCACCATAAAGAAAAGAGCACCCTGAATTATTCATTGGGATTGATATTAAGAAAAACCATACGTTCTCTTTAAACAGTTTGTTCGGACTATTCATTTAACTTTGTATTTTTTCATAGGTAGTTATCAAAAAAAATTATAAATACAGGTTATTTCATATATAGTGGGAAAGAAAACAACGCAACTAGAAAAAAGACTTGAGAATAAAAAAGGACGACGTTTTTTTAAAAATAAATTGAATTGGTTACTATGTTAGTTTTTGCCCGGAGTTTGTGATGTACTCAATTGTTTTCCTCCGAAAAAGTCACAAAAGTTTGCTTAAAACGCAAAAAACTACAAAAAGCTCATTTTGAGACGCTCTAATTGAAAAGTCTGGTTTCTCTGATAGGGTAGCTGAGAATATTTGCGCATGGTTGTTGTCAAAATGCTGTTCAAATTCGAAGTATGTGATGTCCAAAATTATCCTCAAAAACAAGCCTTTAAGATGTAAAAACCTAATTTAGAAACACCACAGTAGAAGCACATTTGTTTCAATTGATCAAAAACATTTCACTCAGCCAACCCTTTGGTATTACTTTATGACGTCCATTTGTCGCTGAACAACCTCAAAATTTTTCTAAAGGCGCCTTTGGCGCCAATAAGACTTATTTTGAGGTGGGAGCGCGCCCCGAAAAAGGCGTATTTGTTTGGTCAAAATTTTCCAAAAAGTGCCAAAAAACGCCTTTTTTAGCCTGTTTTATAAAAACCATCGAGAGCTCGGAAAATCAAATTGCTCAAGTTACCCTTCAATCAAGGTAGTGAAATTGAAACACTTGTAGAACTTCAGTTTAGTAGCAGTTTTTTTTTGTTAAATACGGAATCATTTTTGACAGTGCATTATCTTAACCCAAGAATCCTTTACTCCCATAGCTGGTCAACGCATTGTTCAGTTCTTGCTTAATCTACTGATTAACATCGTTCAAATTATCACTTTAAAGAACTGCGTTTTTTTTTTATTATAGAGTCTTATTCACGTGAAAGGACTGCTTCTCATATTGCAAGCAATAAAAATGTTTAGCTTTATTTTTTTGGGAGTAAACTGGTTTTCTTTCATGGTTACTATCACGGAACCAGGAGATTTTGACTGAAAATTGAAATATAAAAGCTTGCTTCAGGTGGACCTTACTAAGTATTGTTTGCATTGTTTTCGATTCCGGTCTCGACTAATCAATTCCCTCCTTTTCTTTCCCGTTTGCTTTATACTTTTCAGGCTGTAAAAGATGTTTTTGCAAGATTGTGTAATATAAGAAGTGTTCATTTAAAAAAGTATCTGAATCGTTATCACCAGCGGTTCTTAGATCTTCTTTGTTAAGTTTCTGGAGCGCATTCTTTGAACGATTCCTAAAATGAGATTTTTCGTTGATTAATGAATTATCGCCGATAATTCATTAATCAACAAAAAATCTCATTTTAGGAATCGTTCAAAG